GTCAGTTTCACGTAGACGCCGAGTGGGGCATCGCAGGCCCATCCAGAGATGACGGGAGATCCAACCATTGAGCGATGCGTTCATTCCCGACGGCCGTTCGAAGGCAACGACCAGCACATCCAGGAACGATAGGCGGAGTTCAGACATCACGAGTGTCAGATCGTTCTCGTTAGCACTGCAGCGTGAGACAGTCAGCGGACGGGGACGGGCGCGGGAGGTGCAGTCACAGTAACATGACAGAGCGCATCGGGGCGACAGCAAATGCGCCACAACCCTTCGTAAACATCAGCGCGCGTGGCCAATCATTGCAGTGCTGACATGTGCAGCACGCTTGCGGATGTGAGACGGCTATGACACGCACGATGGCACGCACCAGTTGACATACCTTAAGCTTCGGTGTATGATACGCACGTCCACCCACCATTCCTGGCAACACCTACCACCCACGCACTACATACCCAAGTCCAGCCAATTATGACACATGTATTGTCGCGTGTAGGTGGCAGCGCACCACACCTGCATGTCATCGCTCATGCCGCGTCCATACACGCCCCATCCGTACAGAGCATATTGTGTTGGCTCTACATGGAAAAGACGGCCAAGATCGGCCAACACACGTTCCAGGACATCCGTGTGTTCATACGCAAGAAGCCGTTCACTACATCCCGACACATGCCTGCGCCAGCCATGTTGTGCGAGAACTGCGGCAGCACGAGCCACCACGCGCTCGACCCAGAGTGCCCTGCAGTTGCAAAGCCATATGGGAAGTGGGGTGGCGTGCGGCAGACGGAGCCAGCGGGCAGCACCGCTGCAGATGACACGTACCAGCAGAGCTTGAACCTCGACATGGTCACGGAGACCGTTCCAGGCGTCCCAGATTGCCGCGAGGATGGGACAGCAGCTGCTCGTGGGTCAGGCAGCGGTGAGAGTGCGGCTGCAGGCGATCGACCTCGTGGGTCAGGCAGCGGTGAGAGTGCGGCTGCAGCGATCGCGAGGGCGGACCGTTGCCTTGCCCTTGCCGAGGCGGCTTCGCAGGCAGCCGTCGACCTCGCGAACGAGATGGTCATCGTTGAGGATGAGGATGAGGAGGCGGCGGCGACAGATCCCAGCTGCAAGCGAGCCAAGGTCGGTGCGCCACCCAGCCACGCAGACCGCCACGTGCATCCAGTGGCAGCGACGCCGCCAGCGAGGCCGTGGCCCGAATCCCCATCGCACAGTCCGCCCCCCACGCCTGTCGCTGACAGTCCGCCCCCCACGGCGCCAGGCCCCCCACCGCCGCCGCCGCCCACGGCGCCGGGCCCCCCGCCCGCCCAGGCGACGAAGGCGGCCGCCGCGGCGCCAGGCGCCCAGGGGGGCTGGGAGCGCGGGCACGCAGCGGTCAAACAGCTCACGGCGCTGCTGGCTGGGCTCAGGGCAACTAATGATCCATCGCAGGTGGCTGCGCTTCTGCAGCAGGTCGGCGACATCGCCGCGCTCCAGCCCACGCCCGCGGACGCGGGGCCAGCGGCTGCGCCCGCGGGCGTGGCTGCGCCCGCGGGCGCGGCCGTGCCCGAGCAGCCTGCGCACATGGGCAAGGTCGTCGACGAGCCCGAGCTGCCTGCGCCTATGGGCAAGGTCGTCCATGAGCCCGAGCTGCCTGCGCCCGTCGGCAAGGTCGTCCATGGGCCCGAGAATGAGGAGGCGGAGGAGACTCCGTGCCCATGGGGCACATGGACAGCCACGAGCGCAGTGGCGTGGCCACCAGCTCGCGGCGACGCTGGCGAGGTTGCGAAGCAGGAGAAGCTCCTGCAGAGGCGTGCGACGCCGACGCCGACGGAGGTCGCCGATGACGACGCGCCTCTGGTGACGGCCAATATGGACATCGCCAAGGACCGATCTGGCGAGAAGGAGGAGGGGGTGAGGACGACGACATGTGAGGAGGTTAGTGATGAGAAATACGCATGCGTTGTTGGGCGGTAAACACCAGGACGGAGATACGGGGGTCGAACAATGATCGAATGGCGCTGCGGAGGAAGATTATGAGGATGATGAGGGGCAGGAGGAGGAGGAGGAGGAGGAGGAGGAGGAGGAGGAGGAGGACGTGGAGGCAGAGGATGAGACGTGGAGGATGCATGATTCGGAGGCGGAGGAGGGGGCGGATGAGGAGGATAGGAGGAAGATGAAGATGCTGCTGCTGCTGATGATGATGATGCTGCTGATGCTGATGCTGATGCTGATGCTGATGATGATGATGATGATGATGATGCTGATGATGATGATGATGATGATGCGGATGAGGAGGAAGGGGCGGATGTCTATGAGAAGGCGAACTTGTTTTGCACCCGACCAGGACGCAGTCGGCATCCAGGACGTTCCGCAGCGCGAGAGGGTTGACATCGACCCGCGCGTGCCGTGCACTGAGATCTACAAGCAGGAGCGAACACGTCTAACCTCGCATTGAAATAACAGTTTGGGTGGTCTAAATGCGCGTGCTGTTTTGGTTTGTAAGTTGTGTTAGGCTATGTCACATTAACTCACACCCCAGTGTGAGTTACTGTGGCATCGCCTAACACAACCTACAAACCAACACAGCACTAGTCAGTCATATCTGTACCACCTTAGAACGTTCTGGACGAGCTGCAGAGGGCGCAGCGCGCCTTGCAGCAGGACGCCGAGCAGTTCGGCGAGAACCAGACAGACGCGCTCCAGGAGAAGCTCAGGAACTTCTACGGCCTTGGATGCATTGAGAAGTTGAGGGCGCTGCAAGACGCTGATGAGAATAAGGATACCGACGCCACATCAGACGTTCGTGCTGCGAAGAGGGCGCAGCGCCTTCAGGAGGAAGAGGAGATGTGGGAGGAGCTCAAGGCAGGCAACTTCGCGTTCGCGGCGCGGGGTGAGCGGATGAGCAGCAAGTTCAACAGAGCACTGATTGCGAGTAAGGAGCTCGCGGACGGCTACAAGGAGAAGATCGGCCTCATTGCCAAGGCCAAGTTCAGGGCCGACTGGGCAGAGCAGCAGTACCAGTTCTTCAAGAAGAACAAAAGCAAGACTGAAACGAACACGAAGAAGGAGAAGTTGAAGGGCAAGTACCTGGCGCTCAACAGGATATGCCACAAAGAGGGAGGTGGGTGCGACGGCATGCGAGCTGCGACATGCTACGCGGTCAACTGCATCATTCTGGGCAAGCATTGGTGCAAGTTCGACCAGATGACGAACGCGCTGAAGTTCTACTACGTCGAGCACGAGATCAGCGACGAGTACACGACTGCATGGACGTCCTTCGAGCAGTGGGCCAATGATGATGGCCAGGTGGCAGCTGCGGCGCTCGAGGGCGGCGCTGGAGGCGCTGCGTCATCGATCGGCGACGCGCCCGTGGTGGTTGCCAAGCCAAAGGCGAAGCCCAAGCCCAAGGCGAAGCCCAAGGCAGGAGGAGCCACGACCCTCGCGGCGAAGCTGTGCGAGGCGGCCGCGGACGGCCCCGGCGAGGAGGATGAGGAGGCGGCAGCAGAGGACGAGGAGCCACAGGCGCCAGCACCGCGCGAGGAGGGAGAGGAGCCAACGAAGCGCGAGAGGACGACTCTCGAGCTGTCGACTCTGGCCTTCAAGAAGCAGAAGATGATCTTCCGCGGGGTCATGCAGCAGGCAGCGTCCACGGCCGCCCTCATCGAGTCATCGGGCGACTGGAAGTGGGCCAGGAACGATGAGAACCAGGGTGTGATGACTACGGCGAAGCACGCGGTCCTATGGCCAATCGAAACAGTATAATATCGTGCCCTATTGTACTGTCAGTCGAGCCAGTGGCGTTGTTGGGGAGCGAGGGGGAGGATGACGGACACAGAGTGACGAGGGCGTTGAAAAGACATGGGTGTGAGTTAGGGAACGTGCGACGACGACGAGACGATGCGGCGGGGAGCGTGATACGAAATAACGTACCTCGTTTACACCCATCCCCCCATATGCCGTGTTACCCTCCTTTTGCCGACATATATCCGAATGATCAGGATACTGATGATGATGGGGATGAGGATGAGGTTGATGATGAGGATGATGACGCTAGTTACAGAGACGAAGGATGATAATAAGGATGAGGATGAGGATGAGGTTGGGGATGAGGACGCTAGTTACAGAGACGGGGAGGTAGGGGGGCATCGGGCTCGAACGACCGATGGGTTCACGTCGTCTGACTCGAGTCCGACACTACCGATGCCGTCGATCGGTCGGAACGTTGCAATCGCGAGGTCGATGCTGCTGTCGACGCGACCAACATGCTGAAAGAGTTGCTGGCCGTCGACGATTTTTCCGTGATCAGGGGCCGCGTGGGCGACAGCACGCTGGAGGTTGCGTGCAACAACGGGACTGAGGCGCTCAAGGCCCAGTGATTCGGCGACGTGGGTGACGACGGTAACAGCGACTCCGACACGACCATCGATAGCGACGACGTCAGTGGCGATGTGACGATGACTGCGACGGCGTCGGCGACGACGCGTGATGACGACGACGACGACGTTGATCAAAGTCGTCGTCGTCATCGATCGGGTGACATCGACTCCTGCGACGCCGAATCAGACAACAATTATGATAATGATGCCGAGACCTGCGCAACGACGACGATGTCCCCCCCCACCACCACCACGCGCGGCGCTAGGCTCCGCTCGAGGCGCTGAAGAAGCAGGTCGTGAAGCTGCAGCGCATGCACAAGAACACGACGGAGACCCAGAAGGTGAAGAAGCCCACTGCCAAGGCCTCTGCCAAGGCAGGCGCGCACAAGCGTGCCCGTGGGGAGTGAGCATCTGTCTCTTTTTTTCAAGCTCGGGTGCACATTATCAGGTGATAGGAGTAAGATGAGATGACAATTACCAAAAAAAACGCAACATCACCACAACGAAACAAACATTTCCTGAAATACAGAGGAATTCGACCGGTGAACTACCGGTGAGTTGCCAGTGAGCGGTGAACCAAACTCACCGGTGAGTCCTGCGGTGAACGCAAACGCTCCCGTTCGAGACATCCTCACGATCTGACAAACTCACCGGTGAACTCACCGGTGAGTTTGGCCGCTGAACTCACCGGTGAGTTTGCGGTGAGTTGCCGGTGAGTTTGCGGTGAGTTTGGGGTTGACATGTTTCTGATGCTCCAAGCCCAACACCAACGATTGAGTTGAGTGGTTTCAGCCGTTGTGTAAACAGTTATCGCACCCGAGCGTGTTCAAGCAGGTCTCTGGCATGCGTTCATAGCCAGAGTTTGAAATACCTCAGACGAGGTAGCCGCAGATCGCAATCCCGCGACGAGCGTCGGCCCTAGCGGGGGAGCATTGATGGCGAGGTGGAGGGACACACCCGCAGAAATGCGTATCGTAGGGCTGCGCCGTGCTGCAAGCGTTCTGCACGATCTTTGCCGCCACACGCACGTACGACCGCCCTCCCCCGCGCGAGACGTGAAATTATAAGCAGACATTGCAGTGTGCGAAGCTGACATGTAGTACATGACATCTTTGCCATACTGCAATGAACATGTTCGGTAATATCGTACATTGCACGCGTGCGCGAGCCGAGACTGCACGCCAACGCGTGCACGTGTCCTTCATTGCACATGTGCGCATGTGATGCCACACCTACACACTGCGCGAATGAAACCCGAAACATGTAACGCATGCCTCGTCTTACCTATGCGCGTGTTGTGTATCGTACGTGTGGCGTTGTGCGCGCGCCAATTCAGATGCGCCAATATGCTGATCGAATAACAAGTTACATCGCCTACACCATTCAGAACCGTTGCGTGGTCACTGACATTCTCACGTTGTAAGATGCCACACGCGCACATGCATCACACGTCAGTCGCCGTCTCGGCTCAGTGTGTAATCGTGCGTTCGTCACCTGGCTCATTGCGATTCGTTTTCACATGGACCCTCCACCCCAGAGACGGCGCCGTAGGCATGTTGATCCAGACACGGGGGGGGTCGACCTTGATCCGCGGCAAGCAGGTGCGAAAATATTCGAGCTGTTGTTAGACATGTATTCACAATGTGCTCCAGTATCTGCGAAAGATGTGTGTGTTATGTGCTATTATTTGAATCTCGCGAACACCGAGGGTGCGTACTTCCGAGATTTTGGCATGGCCCCTGGTCACCAGTCGGGAAAATACAAATCGCACCTATCAAAAATGTTGCCGAAAGCATGCCCCACGACTCGTGTACTTGTGCCGTCGTACGTGCGTGGTCGTGCACACCATCATACACGGGATGTACCATTCACGCTCACGTATGCATCAGTGGTGAAAGAGGTACGGCTGAACCAACGTGTGTTGGACCTTCTTGCGTCAGGTGACCCAGATAACCTCAATTCACCACTGAATCTACCATGCTATTCAGAGAACATATTGACGCAATCTTGCGAACAAGAGACGGGGCGGCTACCCCTTCCTCTTGCCGTCTACGTGGACGGCGCGCGTTTCACGGCTCTGCAAGCTGGGCGCAGTGACAGCATATTGGTGGCCACATGCGTGAACCTCTTGACTGAAAAACGGCATGTCATCGGATTGTTGCGTCAGCTCGACATGTGCCGTTGTGGCTGCAATGGTTGGTGTTCAGTGTTTTCTTTTCTCACGTGCATAGCATGGGTGATCGACGCGCTCGTGAAGGGGTGTGTGCCTGATAGAAAATGGGATGGTACCGAGTGGGGCGACGGCGAAGACCGAGGGGAGATCGATGGGACACGCGATTTCGGGTTTCGATGTATGTTGTTGTATCTTAAAGGCGATTGGAGCGAGTTTGCAAAAACGTTTGGCTTGGGGTCCTGGGGGCGACTCATGAATCCATGTCCGTTGTGCTTCACAGACAAGGCGAACATGCACGAAGGTTATGGTAGCATGTGTACAGATTGCCTGTTATTTCAAAACAAGACGGCCTTAGACTACGAACGATCATGTCAAAAATGTGAGAAACGCGTTTCGATTGACTCGGAAGAGCGTCGCCTTCGCGTCGTCCGAGCCCTCGTGTATTACAAATCAAAGAGGGGTAAGGGGAACCACGGGCGGGCCTTGAAACATGATCTTGTTGACCTTGGCCTCCAGAACGGGGACCGTCTCGAGCCTCACCAGGGAATGGTCAACATCAGAAACATTGACTGTGAAGGCTGGCGGGGGACTGCGTTATTCTGGAGGGTACACAAGGATGAGACGGGCAGGGTGATCGACGCCGTGACCCACCGTTGCCCCCTGTTCAAACAAGAGTGGGGGGCAAGCCCCGCGACCTCCATGGCCGTTGACAGCCTGCGTACTGTATACTACGGGCCTATTACACGATGGGCGAGTTCTGGGCTCTGGCGGTTGATTAAATTGAACCCATGGAACTACACAGGAGACAAAGATACCGTGTATACAAAGTGTTGTCATCGATTGGAAGCTGATATGTTCACGTGGTTTCACCAGCAAAATATCCCACACGATCGCAGATTAGGGGGGCTCACTATCAAAATGCTCGGGTCAGATCGTGGTATGATGGACGGCGTCAACTCCCTGCACCCTGGAACGATGTTGAAAGCGAAAGCTGCCGAGACTCGGATACTCATGGATTTCACGCGGTGGGAGCTCGAAGGGCAGGGGGTGGGGCTTCGTCTCAGGCAACCTCTCCTAGCAGCTGCACAAGCAATGACCGAATGGCTCGACGTGTATGAGAATGCAGACATTGTGCTCACTGCCCAGCAACATCAGAAGGCAATGGACAGTTGCAGGAAGGTTCTCCTGTATTCGGCTGAAGCAGAGATCGCCTTTGCACCGAAGCACCACCTCTTCGCCCACGGCACTTGCAGGACTGACTGCGCGAGCAAACACCTGACTTAAATGCCCCACACCGTCGCTTTCACATTTCCGTGTGCATGTCGCACAGAAATGCGGTGTATCCAGCGGTTTTGTATTGGTTCAATGCCCCCGGTCTCCCCCACCCACTCCCCCCTTGAAACGATTCATTGGTGCGCGCCCGTCGCAGTCAGTCTTGCGCGTCGTGCTGCCAGGAGCAAGTGGATGGGCAACATCAAATTTTATTCGACTTTCTTGGGCGAATCCCTGAACCTGGTTCTCAGAAATTGTGCCCAGCGGGCCCACAGACTGACGTTCGAAGAGTCGATATTTTAATGTGTCCAGATCCAGGCAGTTTTGAACCCCGCGGGCAACTTTTTTGGATCGGTAGAGTTCTCCAACCGCCGGGCGACGGACCCATGGAACCCGTGGGGCTGAACAACGGCGTCCCCGAGTGGATCGTGGCGCTGTGCCGCGAGGATCGCCGTTTTAGTTTGGAGTATGAGAAGGGGGGGAGTTGAGGATCGCAGTTTTAGTTGGGAGTGTGATTGGGGGATGGGGCCGCTTGGACTGACACTGTTCATATCAGACTTCACGTAGACATGGGAGAGACGTACAGGCGAAAGAAGCGGAAGCTTGGGAGTGGTTGGAAGCAGGGAGGACCATGTGATCACGCACGCTTGTCGTGACCATGTGAGCCCGCACATTGCGAACGCCGCCACCGTATAATCGATGTCGTCGTCGTGTTCCTCCTCCTCCTCCTCACCCCCAGTCTGCCCTTTCTGCATCCATCCTTCCTCATCGTCCTTCTGGCTGCGTCATCGCTCGCCCCGCTCCTATAACGTGTCTTGGTTGATGCAATACAGTATTAAAGTTTTATCAGCAATAAATTAATATTTATTAATTACAATAAAGTTTTTCCATTTAATTGGTATATTTTTAATAAG